ATTGGGTTGTGCAGCACACCAAGGGCTGCCAACACAAGACCAATGGAGGTTGTGGAGTGTGCTAGCAATTCATCACCCATTGCTGCTACCATGCCAAACCCTGCCAAGAAAACACATGCAACATTCCCTATTGCCTCAACATCAAACAGCTCTGCCAGCAGGAGATACAGCACTGCCAGCAGCACACATAGCTCATGTGCCAGCAGATGCCACCATCAACACCCACACCATGCCTCAGCGGAGTCTGCCTTCCCCTTCTTCAGCACCACCCCTGTTTTCCATACTGAATCCCAGCACACCCTGGACACCACAGCCCCTGACTCTGTCCCAGCCCTTGCCTGTGAGCTTGTCACTAGCTGGATTCTCCAGAGTGGCCAGAACTCAGCCCTCCACCACAGTTTGCACTGGGAAGCCCACTAACCAGGTGCCAGTCATGCCGCCCCCAACCAGGCCCACCTGCAACAGTGGAGGCTCCCAGCAGATTGCACGTGAGGCCTGTACTGGTGAGCACGAACAATGATATGCTCCTGAGGCACAGTGACTCCCGAGAGCCAGATGGCCCCCATGGGCCTGAATGTGACCCAACCATGTCAGTGGGCTTGTTATTCTGCCCCCCTACCAAGGGCAGTGGCAGCCGGCACCATCCCCCAGCAATAGCCAATGTGAGACATGCCCAGACCCGTGATGTCTATGCAGACCCAAGGTTCAGCCACCTCAGAACATCTCTCCAGGTGCCCTGCAGGACCTGCTGCAGACCCTGAAGTCTCCCAGCTCCCCCAGCAGCAGCAAGGGCTCAACATCCTCAAGTCGAACCTCCAGCTAATGGCAGTTCTCACCAAATAGCACACAGCCAAGTAAGTGGCCAGCCAGCCCGGCCTTCAGCTCTAGCCCAGGCTGCTCAACCTGAACACCATGCAAGCCAGCAGGCCACAACCTGCTGTCCCTCCACAGCAGCAAGCAATGGGAGGCCTGAGTCCCCAGGGCCAGGTCTTGAACATCATGAACCCGGGGTGCAACCACAGCATGGCGAGTATGAGCCACAGTACAGAGAGATGCCACGGAGCAGCAGCTGCAGCAGCAGCAACAGCAGGTAGGCAGCACTGGCATGGCTGCAGGCCTGGCAGGACACGCCCAGTTCCAGCAGCCTCAGGGATTCTGATGCCACCCGCAGCCATGCAGCAGCAGCAGATCCAGCAGCAGATTGGGTCCCAGGCCAGCCAAACCCAACTGGGCATATTCTGTATCTTTCCCCTACCCTTAGTTTCTCCCCTGCGCTCAGTACTTTTTTATTGTCCCCGCTTGAGGCTCCTGCCCTCTCTGCTGTTTTCCTGTTATTTTCATTTCAGGTGTCACAAGAGAAGCTAAGCAGCCAAGAAAAGCAACACTAGACCCAGCTTCCTGCAACCACCTGCACCTACATCCAACCTACACAGAGACATAAATATCCTGCCCTCCCTACTCTTGCTTGCTGAAATGGTCATACTGGTGTGTATTAAAAGTAAAATTTCTAAAACTCTCACAACATCTCTTGGCCTGTCTCCTGTCAGCACAAAACTAACAAATCCCATGAGTTCCAGCAGTACATGCTCTCAGAGAACCACAGGCCTCACCTCTCTGGCCAGCAGATGGCCACATCCCTCAGTAGCCAGGTGAGATCTCTGGCCCCTGTCCAGTCTCCAGACCCCAGTCCCAGCCTCCACATTCCAGCCATCACCACGGATATGACCCAGCCTTCACCACACCATGTCTCCCCCGGCCCATTGGTTCTCCCCATCCAGGACTCCCAGTTACCATGGCCAACTCCATAGATCAGGGACACTTGGGGAACCCCAAACATGCATGCTACCACAGCTAAATACTCC